CGGTCTAACCCTCCCTCCCCAACCCCCCCCCGGAGACATAATAATAATAATAATAATTCTGAAACCGGGGGTGAAGGGAAAGACATTTTTCTTCTTTTTTTTTTTTTTTCCCTCCCCTCCTCTAAATAAATCGAATTAGCACGTAGCCGCTGCAAGAGGAGACAAAAACCGTGAGTAGCAGGCCGCCTGTTTAAAAAAACGAACGGTAGCTCCATCCCTTTTTCTCTTCCCTCCGGCCTCTTCCCCCGTGGTGATGCCACCCCGACAAGCACTCGGAGCCTCTCAGCCCCAGGAATATTTACAGTGCTTTCCATTTGTGGACATGAATCTACTTTTTCGATCCCACCTACCAAACCCATCCCCTGCCACCTGCTTCTTTGCGGGGCACCACACGTCGCGCCGGCCGTGACCCCCGTCGGTGCAGCTCCTGGCTGTCTATGCTGAAAAGAATAGCCCAAAGCACAGCTATTTTATTTTTTTTTCCCCTGCCTCTTCCAGTCATATGATGATTTGTTCATGTAAGTGGGCTGTGTGGCTAGAGGGATTTTTTTGTTTGTTTGTTTGTCAGCAACAAGCGCTGAGTGTATTTATGGGCGATGCTGCGATTTTTGTGGCGTGAAAGGTTTCAGTTGTGCAGAACTCATCGGTACCTGGATCAGTGTGCAAGAGCTGTTTGTATCTCGCATATAGTGCTGTATGCGCACGCGTATTTAATAGATATCTTCACGGTGAGGCAGCACACACAACACACAGAAGCTGATGTGTAGGCTACGTAGTTTTTTTTCTAAAACAGATGGCACAGTCCAGCTGTGCGGTAGTCCCCAGTGGTATAGCTAGATCAGCGGAGGAAAGACATCATGCTCTCCTGATAAACTGACTTTTCTGAAACTAGGAGACCACCTAGCTAGGGGTAAAATCTTGTCCTCTGACCTCTGTGAAGAACTTTGGCAACAAAAAAGGACCTATAGCTGAAAATATGTGCAGTAAGTTATGCCAGGTATTTGGCAGCCATGTGAAGGACGTTAGGTTTGAGAACATGATCCGTGGTAGCAACCCAAACCTAATTGCATTTCTGTGTAGGTAAGTGGAGAATCGTGATGTAAAAGCACTTGCTTTTCTTTGATTTTTTTTTTTTCTTTTGCTGTTTAGATTCAATTTCTCCTATTAAAGCTATTTATAATTTTTACAGAGAGACCATTGTGATTTATTGACCTGTCAGATAGGGTGCAGAGTGCCGAGAGATTCCCACAGAAGGTTTGTGACTTTTCTTCTAGCTGTAACGTGTAAGAGATTAATGAACTTCAGAGTGCTACCAAAGTACCGCACTAAAAAAAAAAAAAGACCCTTTTCTCTTCCAAAACACAAGAAAAGTCAGACTTCACATCCCGAGTAAACGAAAATTTCACAGTAATCTAAGACAGTGTACATTCTTGATACACAGTTCATAGACAACATATGGCATTCTTGCTAAGATTTTAGTGATGTGGACTTCTGTAACATATCAGAGGGAGGAAAATTCTTGGACTTGAGTCAAAAAAACAGCTGCTTTTTTGTGAAGCTAGGAAGAAACTTTTCCAGAGGCGGATTATTCTGTGGTTTTCTGTGATAGGGGTGTCCTGAATCTCTGATTAAATAGCTGCCGAGTCAGGTACGGTGCATTGCACTGGGTTCTACAGGGATGGTACCTGCGAGTTGGCAGTGCCAAGGGTGGGCAGGGAAGTTCAAGTGCGCTCAAGCCCATATAGGAGTCTTTTTTTGCCCTGTCAATTTGATAGCAATGTTTCCTTTTGGCAGCTTTACAGCAGAGTCAAGGTGACGGTTTCTCATTTGTCTTCAGCCTTCAAGATAAAATTCGCTGTAATTATTTTTATGTAGTGTGTTTATGGGCTGTCTGATGTCAGCTGAGACTCTGATAAGACGTCCAATGTTCTCTTTCAAAGTCCAACTGGAACACAGGTAGTATTTACTGATTCATCAATCCCTTTTGGAAGAATTTCAATTCCTTAAATTTCCAGTAACCAAAGACACGGAATAGGTGAGGTCTTTAACGTTTTATTTGAGAAATAAGTAGATGTAGCCTCCATTCTTATGGGAAGAGTGGAGGAATGGGACTTGAACGCATCATCAAGGGCTTAGAAGTAGCAGGCAAGTAAGTGCTAGAATTTTATCCTTTTTGTAACTCATTTTCAACGAGTTCGGTTTTCGTGTGACTTTCCTAGGCGCCTGTAGTATTTGTGGGGTTTTTTTTTCCCCATAATGTAGGGCCTTTTGTACTCATTGTTTCTGCTGATGTGAACTCAAGCATAAATATGCACTGACTAAGTATGTGGTGGGTTCCAGGGCTTATTCAGTGGGGCATAACAACCCGTTCTTACTACGTGAGATGGGGCTAAGTGCAACTCAGAGGATGGAAGATTGTGCTACAGATTTTAGCAAAAACCTGGTTATACTAGAGCTGGCTGAGGGTGGGCTGTGAGGTATAAGCAGACTACTTAACTGCCGTGTTTTGTAGCCCCAGGGTTAAAAATGTGGGGTATACTTATGTTTTTAGTAACAACAGCAGGAAAGTGAAAACAAAAAGCAAACAAAAAGGAGTAAGTATAAAGTGCAAGAAAGCACAGAGATGATAGATTGTCATTCTAGTTGCAGCAGAGGTAGTTCCTAAAACAATTGCAGTGGCTGATGTTTCGTTTGATTTTGATGAAGCGTATCCTGCACACTTGCTGATTAACATTCCTAGAAAATTAAACATGTCATTACATTTAGAGTGATAAGACTTTTTTGCTTCTGAAACTGTGTCCTCCCCCCTGCTCCATGCTTCTGCCTGGCATCTTTAAGAAAGCGTCCCCGTGGCTCTCCCTTGGTTGTTCCCCTCTTATAACTTTATGAATAAGTTTGTGAATTTCACCACAATTAAGCAAGGAAGGAAAGGTCTCAAAGGATAAAGTTTCTCTGAGCTTTGTGAAAATATTTTTAGAGCCCATGCTGAAGGAAGGACTCTTGACGGGGGTTATCCCCTCCTGCACGTGTGAAATTCGGGAGGGAGCGTGATGTGAGAGAGCGGGGCTGGTTTAGTTCTGCTGCTCATGTAACTACCAAATATGAACAGCTATGGCTTTTATTCCCTTTAAATACCAGCCAACAGCTTCTCTGCTAAGCAAAACTGCTGCGATATCTACAGACTGTTCAGTGTACTCCGTAGTTTGTTTTGAATGAGTTAATACACGTATTTCCTGAATTTTGCAGCAGATGCTGCTTGGGACTTATTGGAAACAGGTTAAAGCTGCGAAGTTAGTTTCTGCGTTTGAAAACACATTTGTCAATTCAGTCCAAGGCCTTTTCTACAGCAAAAAGTTTGATAGCTTACTCATACTTGTGTCATTCGAGTGATACATTCTTGGCCTATTTTGCGCCAGCAGGGATGCACTTACTAGTGCATCTATTAAATGCTGTTCCCGACAGTGGAAGGAAATAACTATTTTTGTGTGTGTCACCTTCTTTTTTTTTGTGCTGTGGCTTGTTCCCATATAGCTGTATTGATTAAAAGTCGTTCCGGTAATCAACAGAGTTTAAGACTGGTAAGCCTGGAAATAGCATAGGCCACTGAATTGGGAGCCTGAGCTCCTTGGAGAACTACTTTGCTATTAAATCAGTTGTGGTTTTTAGAGTGTAACAGCCTGAGTAAAGCCTTACTGTAGAATTGGAGACAAAGCAATGATGATTTTAACTCTGTTGTCAGAAGCGAGCTACGTCTTGGTGGGTGAAACTCAAAAGAGGGATGCAGGTAAGCTTGCTGCTTAAAAAAAATCTGTGCTAGCTGTGGCGGATTAGGACAGCAGTGCACGGAGTTCATTTTGAAAGGACGGTTACTGTAGCTGTCATGGATACAAGTTTATGGAGTGCCTAAAATACCCTAATGCTTTCAGTTAACCAGAAAATGGTGATATATCTCACTTTTCCCCCTCTTATCTCTTCCTCCTCTTTATTGGATGGAGTTCTTATTTAACCGAAGAAGTAAGTATATTTTTTCAGTCCCAATCCAGTCCATCAGTTTTATGATTCTGAAACTCCGCTGTGTTTTCGCTTCTTGCCTTTCATAGGTAGGTGTTTGGTGTGGTAGCTGCTTATGCAGGGAATACAATTTGTTTCAGCCAGATTAAATCATTTGTTAGTGCATCTGATTCAAATTTGTCTCTAGCTTCACGCTGATCAGCTAAGTGATTCTAATGAGGTGTTCTCCTCTGTTCTCTACCCAAGCATTTCGGAGTGTTTTGCAAACATGTGGCGCCTTTTAATAGCCACAACAATTTTCTTTATTTTTGAATGATGTAAGTCCAAAGAATTAAGTAATGTTTTTGAAATAACACAGCCTGTGGTAGAGAACAAAACAACTTTGTTGTCTTAGATGCTACTCCTATATTACAACATATTTATTTTTCTGTATGTTCTTTACTATTCTGTGATTCTTTACTATGACCTGATCTCTTTAGTTCACATTGAAGTGGCTTACTGTGCCATTACTGATTTCTTACTTTTTTTTTTTTTTTTAATGGGGAATTGTACTATCATGTATATAGATGTGAAGTAGCAGTCTTCTAACCGGCCATCAAATCCAAAGGGCTTGCAGTGAATTACAGAGAAGTTTCTCAGATCACGGTGGGATATAAGCAAAGGTTTTTCCCCCTCTTCTCTTGTATTTCCTCTCACTCTAAGCAGAGTTTCACTTTGAGTTTCAGGTTTGCTTTAACCTCAGGAACTCAAAGCATAACTAAGTGGAAACCACTGAGTTTCTTTTCAAATGTTACATAGCTCTGCTATCAAAGCCAAGTTAGATCTGTTTGTGAGTTTGTTTGAGATCTATTATGAATAAAGGCATGATGTGGGTCCTGTTTGAAGAGGGAATATGCAAAAGACGGGGGAGGAAGACAGGGATGCTGGGGTCTCATTTGTGGAGATGGGTGTGTACTAGGAAGACAGGGAAGGCGAGATCTTGTTTTGGGTAGTCAAAGAGCAGCAGTAAAATTGTTGGATATATGGGTGCATACCAGAGTGTCAACACTTTGTACCGAGAGGGCTGTTTTCCCGTATTCTGTTGATATCACTTCTTTTATGTACTTCATCTTGATAGTTGAAATCTATCAAGTTTAATTAAGGATAGGTGAGGCCAGTAGAACACCATCAGTCTGTTTATGAGCACCAGGGTGCTGCCTTCGTGGTGGGGTAGCCCAGCAAAAGAATAATATAATAATAAAAAAAAATTGGCACCTTTTGGTATTGAGTCGGCTTTGGAAAGGAGGGGTAGATCAGATGAATCCTTGCTCTCTGCAACTCCATGGAATAATTTGCAAAGCTTCATTAAAGGAGCTTAGAGGGATATTTTTGTTTGGTGAATGGGATCCTGGCTTGGGAGATGGAAGACCTGGATAAGTCACTTCACTGGCTTTGCAACTTCATTTCCTCAGCCAGAAAATGGAGATAATTATTTTTACTCTTACTAGTAATCCTTCAAGAGCTCTTGATGAAAGGAGTGTTTCGCAGGACTGAGTGGTCCATCCACCCACTGCTGAGCCTGCCTGGGGTACCTCGGGGCTTTCCCGCGGTGCAAGCCGAGATGCGGGGCGGGCAGGCAGGCAACGTCGGTGGTGCTGGGGCCGGCCGGGGGCGGGCAGGAGGTGGAGGGCAATGGGGCCGCAGGTAACGGCGCTTTGGCCGGCTGAGGTCCGGCATTTGCCAGCTGGCATGTTACCTGCACCGAGGGCTTGAGGAATCACCTTGCCTTCCATCCTGGGGCAGAGCCGAACGCGGTGCTGGTGGAACGCTGTCCTGCTTCCCACCGGGATCCTGCCCTTGTGCTGAGGGGTAGGGGCATGGCCCCTGAGCGTGCCTGGGGCCTGCCGTCCCTGGGCATAGCTTCGCCAGAGTTTTGCCCTTGCAAAATTTACAAACTGGTTTTGTCGGTGGGATTTCGGAAACAAGTGGCATTAATATATGGGTGGAAGATGCTGTCTTTTAAAGCCTGCAAGTTGACTCGATCCTACTGACGTGATTGTCAGACCTGACGGCTAGTCTTGTCCTCTTACGTTTGCCTTCCCGAATTGGGAATGTCCCTTAGCGTGGGCCATGCTCCTGGTGCTAGCACGAGCACACCTGAAGATAGACTGTTCCTTATGTGAGGGACTGCTCACAAGAGAAAATATCTGCACTTTTCCTTGCTGTTTCAGGGCTTGACTCAAACCATATTAAGAGCAATATTTAGATTCCTGTTGTTTTTGATGGACTGTGGATGAAGCACTAAAATTTGCATGAGTCGGATTTCCAAAGATGCGAAGGCATGAAAGGATGAAGGTGTAGGAAGAGCCATGCCTGGCGTTTGGGTCCAAGACTGCCTCCCAGATTTTTGACACTCTTGCTTTCAATAACTTCCAACGTACATCTAAGACGCAGCTTCTGATCAATGTTAACCAGAAAGGACCTTTGTTAGTTGTTGAATAAACCTCGATTTGATCATCTTCTCTCCTTCTGAAAAGCAAACCTTGTCTATTTTTAAGAAATTGAGCAATTGGGGGCTATAAGAGGAACTGAATGTGTTGTAAATTTAACAGGGGCAAATGCAGTCTGTGTTTTCTTAGAATAGAAACTAAGTTCATGCATGTGTATGTATCGTTGTGACGACCTAAAAGACTTGAAGTTACAAGTTGTGGGCTGCTTTTCCACTTCTCAGTATGGCTGCGTAGCAAATAAATGAGGGATTTTTGTCAGAAATGGTGTCTTCAGATCTTGTCAGTTGAACTCGAAGCCAGGATTTTGCCAATCACATACTTTGTTAAGGATTTACTGGGCTGGAAGGAGAATCAGCTAACAAGAATCTAGATGGTTCTCTGTGTATTATTTTTTTTGTCTGAGGTAGGATGAAACCACTTGTTATGGGTCTGTAGGGCTAGTACAGTGGAGGATTTTTCTTAAGATTATGCTTTTTTCCACACCCAAAATCATTCCAAAACATTTCGGTGCATGTTGCAGTATCCAGTTTGTGTGTTTTATGGTCATAGGTCGTCAACGTCACAGCTGCGCAAAGCATGTAAAGGAGAGGAAAAAGGGCAAGTGGATCTCTTTCTTCATGCAAGGCCTGTTTTTTTTACCACTAAAAAAAGATTAAATGGCAAAACATCACGTATATCTGGATAACACCTCATTCTCTGTTGCTCTGTTTCAAGAGACCTGGGAAATGCTTGTTTGAATAAATTGCGGATCCTGTGATTTTTTCCGCTGTCCCTTTTTTTCCCTTGCCATCTAGTTTAAAGTTACTTTTTGGCTTTTGGATTTTTGGTGTGAATTTGGTGTGAAATAGTGTTTGCGCAAGTTTTCCTCTAAAAGGCAAAACCAGTTGTAGTTTTTGCTGCCCCGTCACTTGCGTTAGCGGCTGCTGCTCTGAGTCTTGCAGAGGAGGCATCGGAGGGGTTTAAAATGGTCCGTTCTTTTGTTAAATCTCAGTTACCATGGGCTTTTTGTTTGTTTGGCCCAAGATTGTCGTGAAGATTCATAATTTGGAGGAATTGCTGCCAACTTTTTCTTTGGGTTATTCTTTCTTTAGTAGAGAGAGAGAGATCTAGGTATATTGCCTGATCTGGCTTTTCTTCCAGACAGTCAGATGTATTATTGGGAGGGAAAGGTCTTTTCATGAAATCATTTTATAACGATTTCTCTGTTGGTTTTCAAGGCCAACAGAAAACAAACAATAAAAAATTCCTAGCTTGATGACTGTAATGTTTTTATAAATGCCTGTATCTATGTATGTTGGAAAAGGATTTGTCTCCATGCTTGATTCTTCTCTTTAAAGATTCAGATTAGCCCTAGAAGTGTTTACTCAGATGTGATGAATTACAAGTGGATGAAATTACATTGTTGTCAGATTGACTCATCGTCCTGCTTCGCTCCCCCAGTTGAGAACATTGACTTCCAGCTCTGAAGAGTTTGCTCACTCGAAGACCAGGGTTTTTTACACAAATGACATACCTCCCTTGTTAGAGATCTAGAGGGTTTTGATAGCTGGGTTTTGAGATGATAATCACAGATAAGAGGAAAAAAGACCAGGAGATAGGACAGCTGGAAGAGAAAGAAGAGCGATACACATCTCTCTGCCTTACTTACGACAAGCTTCTTGCCAAAAAAGACGGACAGGGTCGTTGAGCGAGGTGAGGAGAGTTGGGAATGGTTTAGGATGCATCAGCTGGCAAGCAGTTTGAAATGCCCTGATGCCGCATAAAGCATTGCCCCAGCAGCTGGAGCATGTGGCAGTGAGAGATCGGTTACCTTGGTGTGGTTGCATCTCTTACGCAGTTGCTGTGTTTGAGTCTCCAGGTCTTCGTGCCTTTTATAATCAATGATGAGAGCGTTGCTTGGTGGCTAGAACGTCCTGCATCCTGGTGGTTCCCTTCACTCTGTATAAAAGATCTTCTTTTTCTAGTTCTGTGGTTGATAAATAATAGGGCTATGGTTATTAGAAGTAGGTTTTATTTTTGTAGTCTTCTAAAATACTTTAGTCTTAGGAAGAGGAGACTGTAGATGTGAGGGAGTTTGGACTGAGGGCCTCTAGGAGAACAATATCTGTTTCTGAATATTTCTGCATAATTCTGTGAGAGTTTTCACAGCAAAGTGAAGAGGAAAATTGTTCCTTGCTATGCTCAGCATTTTGCTAAATACTGTTTGTTCCCAACAGCTAAAACAGCCTGAATACCCTGAAGGCTTCTTACTAACCTATAACTATGTTCATGCCTTTCTTGCCACAAGGGTCGTTTCTCTCAGTAAAAAGCCAAAAAATTGCACGCTGCCAAGTGCATGGCATGGGTGTTGCCAACAAACTGCTCATGCTAAGCGGTGTTTATGAGGCTGCCTTGCTTTGGGGAAAACTTTCAGTGGAAACTAGCTGCTGTGAAAGGAAAATCTGGTCTGATGGAAGTGTTTGGTTGCATCTGAGTGCTCTGTACCTTCAGGTGGACAGGATCTGCAAACTCCTTGTGCCAAAAGTCTGTGTTCTAGTAAACGTTCTGTTACCTCGAGCTTTATGAAACTCTGAAAATAGTTTAAATGGGCTGTGGGCACGGGGAGAGGATGGTCCTTCTCGCAGACTTTGGCATTGCCAGCTCTGATAACACGAAGGTCAGTTATGTTTGGAGACCATTTCGTGGCTAACCTGCCTTCAGAGTAACGGTTTGCTGTGTCTGCGATTGAACGGTTTAGATAAGATAGGAGAGATTTGTATCTTTGAATCTTGAAGAAATGAAAATAGGACTCTCAGTCTGGTCCGAAAGCTGAAGATCTTGTCTTAAGTTCCTGGTGAGAACCTGAAGTAAGGTTGACGTGACAGTACCACAGGATTGCAGGCCAGGGTTTGGGGAGGAAGGGGAAAGAGAGGTGGTTTATCTGCTCTTCGCAGACAAGAGCTTGTTATTCTCTGTCCGGGTGACTTGAACAGAGATTAAGGAAAACAACACGTGTGTTTCCATGAGCAGGCACATTCCCTTGGTGAGAAGCGTTCAGGAAATTTGTTGTGGGGCCCTGTGTAATGCCACGGTTCTGCTGCCATGGAAGCAGTCTGGTAAATCCCCAGCCCAAGCTCGGGAGAGACTTTCCTGATGGTGATGTTTTACCGCCTGCACAGAAAGGGCCAAAGAATTTCGTACACAAACTTTAAATATATGTATGTTAAGGCACAGAGTTGTTCTCCTGATTTACATTTCGGAATTTAAGCTTTCCCTTTGCAACTTAATCTAACTCAAATGAATATAAATGCAGCTTTATAAAATTATTTCATTGCTGGGAAGAAAGATATTTGTACGCACTTACGGCGCCTGGAATTACGATAGGAGGAGGCTTGTGGGCCAGCGCAGGCATCTTAACCACTGCTTTCTAGCCCCGTTAAATACCTACAGCTGATCTAAAGTAACACTTAGATTGCATTTTATAGCTCTGAAAAATATATGCTGGTTTCCCTCTGTAAAAATTAAGCTAGAAATGTTACTGCGCTGCTGGAAGTGAGCTGTCGCTCCTTCAGCCTCTCACGCTGTTGGCTTTGGAACTTGGGGACGACAGGCATTGGCAAAAACACTTATTTTGCAACAGAAACATCCGTTATACTTAATGCTTTGCCTCCCAGACACCTTTTGGTAGGTTGTGAGAAAAGCCTGCCCTCGGGTCTCCAAGGTGCTGTAGGTTTTTTTCCCTCTGATGATTTCTGATTGGCAATAGAGATATTGCTGGCAGATTGAAAATGTGTGGGCGATGTCAAATGAACTGTTATTTCAAAATGCACGCAGAAGACCCTGCTGATTTGGTTGTATTAGTTTCCATTTATTCTTAATTTCTAAAAGTTATGACTCTATTATTTTTATTTTTTTGGGGGGGGGGAACAGAGCAGCTACAGAATCAACAGATTGCTGCTCTTTCCAGCCGCGACAGTCAAGGCTGAGCTTGTGTCATGAAAAACTCTGGGCTTTGTCACCTCTGAAGACAGCCAGGAGCTATCTAAAGATGGAAAAAAGTTGCACTTGTAGCCGCGTTCCAGTTCCACAAAGATCTGTGCAAACTGTATTTAGCTTGTGGGGGAATAACAACCATATTTATTTCTTGAATAGTACCAAGAATGATAGTACTGCATGTTTCGGTGCCTAAAAAAATGAGGTGTTTTCTCTGTGTTTTCTCCTTTAACTTCCTCGGCGGCAGGATGCGTGGTGTCCGTGGCGCAGCAAGGGTTTCGTGGTGGTTGATCAGAATCTGGCAAGGCCATGTGGAAGCGGGGTGGCAAAGTGAGCTCAGTGTGAAATGGGGCTGGCCCGGTGGGAAGAAAGCTGTTCTCTGACATGTAAAAGAGTTAATTACGGTTTGGGGAGTGGAAAGAGTTTCCTGAAGCTGAGCACTACTCAAATTAGCAACCCTGTGCAGATACACAACGTTTCTCGGCTGGTCATCTCTCTTTTGGCCTCTTGCTGAAGATGTAGTGGAAAAGAGAAGATTTTACTTTGCGTCTTTTGTGTGCAGTTTAGTTACACAACTTGTTTCTTTGGATTTTTTGGTTCTTCCCCTTTGCTTTCTCCCACATCTCCGTTCTCCAGACTGCCAGCTACATCTACTGCTTGTATTCGCTGAAGTGGGAAAGTTTCGAAGTACAGAAGCTTTGCCAAAGTTTTTTTTGTGGTTTTTATCCAAGCTAACTACTTCTATTTCTGTGGTTTACTTGGGGCTACATATTCATCTATATGGAGATGATGATCAGAGTGGAAAATGTGGGCATTTCATATTTGGCCTAGTAATTACTTCTCATTCTGTAGAAAACAAAACAAACATAAGTCCTGCGTACTCTCAAACTATCTGGTTGTCAGACCTCTTTTGCAGAAGCTCCCTATTGTATCCTTTTTGTAATGGACTGATGATGAGTGGGTTTATTCCCTTGCGCAACACTTCTCAAAAAAAAAAAAAGATGTTTGTCTGTTCATCTCTTCTTCCATTGTTCATCTTTTGTTCCTTTGTGGTGAAACTCTTTCTCCAGTTTCTACTATTTCATACAGGCTGAATGGTTACCTATATTTAAAGGTATTTGTAAAGTGCCTCTAGCAGAAGAGTTTCAGCAGCTCAGTTCTTGCAACTCTACTAATTGAAATGGAAAGAAAGACCATGCTTGTATTTCTGGCTGACTGTGTTGGGTCGTTATTTAAGGGGCGAGGTAGGACAGGGGCTACTGTTGAAGAACTCTGGAAGATTTGCCCAAATTTGCTGTTAATGGGATAGGGTATTTTCACCCCTCCCTCCTCTCACTCTTCTCCTTTCTCTTCACTTTGCAGGACTGCTTCAACTCCTTTGTCATCTCGCAATGCGCGTCCGTGTCACAACCTGACACTGCGGGGAACTGCTAGTCTGAGGCTGACTCTTTGCTTTTCCTGCAGGCTGAGTCCACAAGTTTGAAGACTCGTTGAAATCACTGGGATTGACGCTTGGACCTTCAAGAGAAGAGACTTTCTGACGGCCCTGCTCCACTCCACCTGGCCCTATGACTGGAGGGTTCACCGTAGCTCCATCCTTTGCTCTCCAGTTCCACAAGATGGGTTCATTCAGAAGGCCCCGACCTCGCTTCATGAGCTCCCCGGTCCTCAGTGACCTGCCGCGGTTCCAGGCAGCCCGGCAGGCTCTGCAGCTCAGCTCCAACTCTGCCTGGAACAGGTAAGCAGGACCCACCTAGGCTGAGATCTCGCCCTGCAGCAGCCCCATGATAAGGGCTGTGCGTGTCTGATCTTTGTGCTTCAGACCATTCATGGCTAAGCTCCTCTCTTTACAAGCACGCATGCATTTTTGGCATGCCCAAGCTTCCCAGCATTGAAAGCCTCTGTGGAGATGAAAAAATTAGACCTAGGTAGTGTTTTTGGTTTTGGCCAATGTTGTTCAGAGGTACCGTCTTCAAGTAAAGCAGAATGACTCTTTGTTAACAGTTGCGTCTTAAGTACCATTTAGGAAAGCACATTCCTAGTGCTGTAATAAAGGCCAGTTTCTTAACGCACACCAGGCATTTATTTACATATTAGGAAGCTTTTGCCACAGTCAAGTTCCTCTGACAACTGCTACGCTTGTGGCTTCTACTAGCGTTTCCTATTGACAGCCAAATCCTGCCTGCAGTGCGTGTCATGCAGCAATGGCAACTGGAAGAACAACGTGTAGGGTGAGGAGTGAGATGTCCTGACCTGATCTAATGGTCTGCTGCTACCAAAAGTGGGTGTTCCCACCTTCCCTCCTGCCACCTTGCACCAGCGATGTGCTCCGCAGACCTCTCTTTTGCTAACTTAGCTCAGCTTACTAATGTGGCACAAAAGTAGGCTGGCAAAAACATTGCAGTTTTGTGCCGGGATAGCGAGCTGAGGTCCCTGAAGTGTGCAAATGCCGTAACAGGCCCACAGAAGGGAATGATACCTCCTCTTGTTAGCCATGGCAAGCCTTTACACCTGCTAAACCATCTTGTATACTGTCACTCTGACTTCCTCTGTGCTGGTGATACCAGTATGAGTTAGAAGATCCTCCAACAGTACCTTCCGGGCATTAACAGGGCATAACGTTGGGTTTGAGTGAGGTGATGCTGGCTGCAGAACCTCTTCCAGCCCAGCCAGGGTCCTGCCAGACGCTGCAGATCGTGTGGTTCCTGCTAGCATCACTGGATAATGCAACGTGAGGTGTGGGGCAGATATTGCCAAAAATCTGTGTCTTCTCATAGCAACTAGCCGGCAGCACACAGCAGAGATCCACTAAACGGTCAAGTTAAAGATATATCTGGTATGAACTTGTTACAGTGACACTGTTCACAAAGAACGACTTTCCATCGCTTACTCTAGGCACAACTTGAGGTTGGTTCTGCTCTGTCTCCCACGAAAGATGTAGGTAAATCAGAGAGACGATTTCCAGGGGAGAAAAAGTGGAAGTATTTAAGTGCAATTAACCTCTCCACCCCATTATAACCACTCAGCTTTTGGCAGCTAGCTCCCATCGCGCTCTGTGTTAAATCACACTGGTGGCTGTTATTTATGGATGTTGTACTGTCTCATTTCTTTTTTGGCAGTGTTCAAACAGCAGTGATAAATGTGTTCAAAGGGGGAGGCTTGCAGAACAATGAACTTTACACCCTCAATGAAAATATCAGGTAGGTTGCTGAAATGCATGAAAAGGGATTTTCATCGCTAATTGTTTGGTGTTTGTTGGGTTTTGTTCCCCTACAGATAGAAGATATTGGTGGGAGGAGCATGGATCAAAGCAAACTTCAGCACAGCTTTGAGGTTTCAGGCTAAGTTACTTGTGTTTTGCTGTTGAGTGGAGTGAATGGCATGGAGCACTTGGAGAATATTGCTCTGACTTGTGTGGATGTGTAGCTTTGACAAGGACGGGATGTGTATTTTCTTGGATTATAAGGTTTTTGTCCCTTCCTAGGGAGTTTGCCTCTTCTGCCTGTTTTTTACATGTTTTTATCAGGGTTTTCACGATGATAGTAACATTTGCTTTTTAGCTTCTCAGAATGGTGGAGTGTTTAAAATGAATGTAAAAAGCAGCGTTTCGTTTAAAAGCTTAATCTTCACATGATAATTGCAGAGCGAGACTTGAAAATATGAACCCTAAAGATAAAAAGAACCTAACAGCCTAACAAACATTTTCTAACAATGATGCTAGTGATGATTAAAAGTATAATTTATTTTTTTTTTTAAGCAGGTTTCACGATTATCTGTGGTTTCATTCTGATTATTCGGAAAGTTTGGTTAGCAATAGATAGGACTGTAGAGTAGATAAAGAACAATTTATTCTTGCCTTGGTTCCAAGTGCTGCTACGTTGAGTATTGTCAGAGCTCATGGATGTAATTCCTCCTCCCTCTGTCTTTCCCACTACATCCATCTTCATTCATCATGAATGCTGTCATACACGTCCCTGCTTCTCCTTTTATATGCCCTCTCCTCCATCCCTATTGCATTTTTCCCGAGTGCCAAGATTCAAATGGCAATTTGGGCTAAGCACGTACTAAGCAGCAGTCTACACTACCCCTTTCCATACTTTCAAAATAAATGCAGCTTGCAGAGCACCGAACTCTGTCCTACTTGGTCTGGTCCCAAAGGTGAAAGTTTAAGGTAATTTCTTTTGAGAGCTGAGCGAGGGCAGTGCCTCATGCTTTAATGGTGTTTTAGTGTACTCAGGTCAGAAGTCTTCAGGTGAGGTTTAAGTACTAGGAGCAGTCTTAATTCTCCAGGGGCTATTTCTGCAGGTGAAAAGTAAAACAAATGTCATAAGACTTTGGAAATACCCTAGCCCCCGGCCTGTTGGCAGACTTGGGGACTGGCTTTGGATTTTATGACTCGTCTGCCAGGCAACAGCCTGCTTTCCCCCCGCCGCCCCAGCACGAGCAGTGCTCCTTCCCACCCTTCCTTCCCAGTGCCTGGACCGTGCTCTGTTCGCGTTGGTGACAGAAGTGGATCCAGACTGTGGAGAGCCGGGTGAAGAAGAGGAAATTCTTTGTGAGCTGTGTGTGCGTTGTAAGCAGTGCTGATGGTGGGAGGGGGAATGCCCTCTTCCACGGACAGGCACTCCCAGGCAGCACTTCGAAGCACTCACCTTGACATACACGATTAATGTTCCTGCAGATGCCCTGAGCATGGGTTACATCTCCAAATGTCATTGCTTAAGTAGGCCACTTAAAAGTTCAAATAGCTCATTAACGGCCGTCTAAGGCGCAAAGGACGTGGATCTGCATGTATGTTTGGATGCACACCTGCAGCCTCGCGCTTTGACGTAGCCCCCAGCACAACGTTAGCTCTGCGTGCGCAAGGTGAAGCTCTAGCTTGACGCTGGGCAAAAAGCCAGACCAGTCAGAGGACCAACTCTTGGGTGCCGTTAGGTCGAGCGGTGCATTTTCCTTGTTTGTAGTTCTCCGTGCAGCTGCTTGGTGGGAGTTAGCAAGTGCGGTCTTTTAAGAGACTCACAGATTCCGCACAGCGCTTAGTTATTTGACAGTGGGAAATGCAGGAGAGTTTTGAAGTCCGACAGAAATGACAGGACCAGGAGATGAGCAGTGGGTTACATTTTGCTGTGGATTGCTGCCACCAAGTTTTTATCTTGCTGTGATTTGATATCATTTCCCTGGATACTTTTTTTTTTTTTTGCTTTTACTGCTCTGGAAGTCAGTTGTCACAGCAAGAGGAAATGTAAGAAATGCCATCAGGAGATGGGATTTCAGGAAGCAAGAGGTGACCTGGCCATGATTTAGGAGGAAAACCCTCCCTTAGGCTTGCACCCTAGAGGGAACCTCCGGTTGCCAGTCTACCTGCACGAGGCAAAGTCCTGCCATGGACTTGTCCATCAGCTGGTGGAGAGCTCCCCGGATTCTGCTGAAGTTGGTGGAAGAGCCAACTTGGGCTCTTTTTACATGCACGTAGCCTACACGTTTCTTTTTTTTTTTTTTTTTTGCTACAGAAGATGGTGGAGGTACTGGACTTTTTTTAACAGCAAATGGGTCCCCAAAGGCTTATCTGGTTTATCCATCTCATAGAAATAGAAATGCGCTTTGAGATGGGCAGGGTGAATATAATCCGCTCAGAGAGAGAAAGAGTAAAGGTGTGTTAGCATGAGAATAAATGTAGAAGTGTTACAAAATGGTTAGGGAGGAACGTTGCTGTAAAATCGACTTGCAGCAAAGATTAGGAAAAAGTGGTGGAGTTTGTTAGTAAGAACCCAGCCCAAGAACTGGATGATCCCCAATTCAAATGGCATTTTCGAGCACTCTTGATTATACCTCATGTTGGTGAAAAGCAAAACTCTTAGAACAGCAAAAAGATGCAAAGTTTTGCAGTGGAAAGCGCTGGGTGCCTTTTAAATGTTAGGCAGGATTTGACTGCTACAAAATTTACGCTCGCAGTCTGTGAAAGCTGAAAGCGCAAATGCACTGAACTTTGTGAGGATTTTTTTTTTAATGCTGCTTCTGATGTGAAACAATCCTGATTTTTATTTTGGCATTCTGAAATATAAATATGTATTAGAATTTAAGACTTTTATCACAGCCTGATTGTAAATCCAACAGTTTTTATTGGTAATACTTGTTTAGAGCGGCTTCTGCCTGCATGTATTTAAAATGCTTCTGTTAAATTTCTATAATTTCTTTCTTGGAAAAATATGCTGCTTTTTTTTTTTTTTTTTAAATGTGGTAGTCATGGGGAAACCGCAGCTTCTACTTGTGTGTTTACTTCATTGCTCCTCTCCTTATCCTCCCACCGTCTACTTCCAAGAGAAAAAGAAGTACAGCATTAGGGAGAAGTGAAATGAAAGGTGTCTTTGTTCAAACAAAAAGCAGAAAAACCATTGTGTTTCAAACTCAATAACATTAAATTGTCTCCCCAACTTTCTGTGCATTCAGGGGGATATTTTTTTTTTTTTCATTTTGCTTGTTCTAAGTGTATGGCTTATAAAGAGAAGACTTCAGGGAAATTGTTTCCTTCCTTCATAATTTAAGAACAGCCTTTGTGGACATTTGTAGGATATATACCTAAATATAAAAGAAATCTAACTGTGGCCAAATTGACGCATTCACATATACTCGCGTATCTTTGCTCTGACTGGTAGTAAAGTGCAGATATACCTGTAAGAAATGATGAGATATATATATATACTTAATGGCTGCGTTCCTTCTGTCTACAGACGGCTGCTGAAGAGTGAACTGGGATCCTTCATCACAGATTACTTTCAGGTATTACATGATTTACTTGCTTTCTTTTGAGGTTTGCTTTCTTCAGCTTTTTAGCCTGTTAAAAAATTACATGCATGTAGCCTACAAGTTTCAGTTTTGTTTTGCTACAGAAGATGATGGAGGTACTGGACTTTTCTAATGTGGGCCATATAGCCTTGGGAGTAATCGTATTTATGGGTGGATGTGCTAAATTAAGGATAATCTTCCTTTGCGCTTGAGAAAGGCTGCCAGTAGCCTGCCAAGGACAAGAAGGAATTCACTTGAACTTTTTAAAGAAGACAGGGTACCTTTTCATAGTTGGTTTTTTTTTTTTTTTTTTTCACCCTATTTTTCTAGTATAGAGAATTAAGGAGGAGGTTTTCTGCAACAGGGGCCAGCAAACTTTTCATAGTTGTTTTTTTTGTTTTTTTTTCACCCTATTTCTCTAGTATAGAGAATTAAGGAGTAGGTTTTCTGCAACAGGGGCCAGCAAAGGGGAAGAGAAAAGATAACGGCTGTCTGTTTGGAGGGGGGGCACAGAAGGAAGTCCCTATCAG